GCTCTACCTGGCTAGTTCAAGAGTCCTTGTCTTATTTAAATCAACGGTTGCTTATAATCTCACCATCCTGTCAACCCACCACTCCATTATGGTGTGTTTCTATCTAGACTTTTCTTGAAACTTGTGAGACGAGGGCATATTTGGGTTTGGGGCATATTTTAGTCACCAGCCATTTTTCAATGGCTACCTCATCTTCATAGTCATTTTTAATGTCATTGAAATTAAGTGACTACCAGAATTTGGGGCAGTTCAGCACAGGGATAAAAAGCACAGACCTTGGAGTCAGATGGCCTCTGCCACTTCGCAGCTGCGTGGCCCTGGGCAAACTACTTAACCTCTTTGAGTCTTGGTTCCCATACAGACAGATGAGGATAACAAAAACTACCCACCTCACTGAGTGTGGGGGAAGATCGCATAAGCACCATGCGGGGAAAACAATCTCGACAATGCCTCACACATGACAAGCATGTCACAAATATTAAGCATTATTAACAATGGCTATCAACTACTGACACATGAAAATTTAGGTTATTTTCAAATTTTCACTTTCAAATACAAAATGCCAATTAGACATCTACATATGTAGCTCTTTTCCATATCTTAGATTCCTTCTCTAGTGCAGAGTTGCAGAAGTAGAATGACCATGTCACCAGGTAAGGGCTTTCGGGTGACTCATTACCGCTGACACCTGCTGGTAGCGTACACTGGGACAGCACTGTCGGAACACAGCGTGGGGACCCTAATTCCACGGTACTGTTGCCAGCAGGAGGTACCAATACGCATTTTTATTTGCTAATCTAAAAAGATTAAAAATTGTGCTGCCGTTTTACCCATCGCTTTGAGAAGCCGCCCGTTTTTTGAAGGCACGGGGAAGAGGACGTTGGAGATGGAGGCTCCTTACCCACGTGCCCCTTCTGTCCCTCGTCGGAGATCCTCAAAAGGAGCTCCAGGTGGGAAGTGCTGATGTCTGGAGCCACCACCTTTGTCAGCTGTCTCCACTCGGTCTCCTTAACCACAAACTCTGTGCCCACCTTGACCTTCAGAATGTTGAACGCCTCTATCATTTTGTGACGTTTCAGGTATACTAATTTGCGAATCTCATTCTTAAAAAAACAGAATTGTGTGTTTTAAGAGAAGGATTCCAGAAAGTGTCATTTCATTACCCCAAGCATTTCAAGGCCATAAAAGAGTCAAAGAGAAGTCACTGATGAGTCTGCTAACAAGCAAGTACAGAATCCCTCCCCGGCTCCAGGTATGTCTAGCTAACCCCTGTCTGCATCCACAAAACTCATCTTACCAAGTTTAAATGAGGGAGCCCAGGAAGGAAAATCTGTGTGGTGAGAAACAGAGCGACAGGAGGCAGACAGCTCCAAACTCCACTCC